GATTTTGAATTCTTTAGGGTAGAATGCCATGTATACATAAAATACATTATTGTGATTAAAATCTTTTCCTGCTTTCTTCTCAGCTCTTGCTGCATTGATTGAAACTTGCCAAGATGGCAATGAATGCCATTCCAACAGCAGTCTGGGACCTGTTCTGATGGATCTTTTTAAGCTCACCCTAGGACTGGGTGATCTGGAGATCCAGCAAAATTCAAAGTATCCTGTACTATTTCTTCTGCTCCTTATAACTTATGTTGTGTTGACTTTTGTTCTTCTCTTGAATATGCTGATTGCCTTAATGGGAGAAACAGTGGAAGATATTTCTAAAGAGAGTGAGCACATCTGGAAACTTCAGGTTTGTGAATTAGTTTGCTTAGGAAAGTATGGATTAATGGGCTAAAATCTTTTGAGCTATACCTATCATAACTCTCAGAATGGGTGACGTATTAACACTGATAATCCCATCTGCATATGTGTACAAATAATGGAAATAATCAGGGTATCATAATAACTTCAGAATTAACAACTAAAAGATAATCTTATGGCTCAGATTTTCAACCTCATGCACTCACATATCTTTATGACTTTAATTCCCCTTGATACGTCACTAGGAATGTGTGTTCCATTATCTGCCCAGAGATCTGTAACTCAGCATGCTCTGCTCTTGCGGCCCTTGAGTCTGAGCAATGCATGAGTTCATTCCAGTTCCTCATACCTTATCCCAGCCTGGTCTCTTATCAAAGTTAGACATCTCTGAGTCCCAGGCTGTCATCAATAACAGTCATAATGAGGACTGGCGTTGCTTTGTGGTGGGTGGCATCCACTACAGCTTCTATATATTCCTGTGGCAGGGTGTTGCATGAAGGTGTGTTGGCATTAAACCCTAAACACCAAGTTTAGAGTGAGATTTCTTGATTCTCTGAGTATGAGTGAGATTTCTTGATTCTCTGAGTATGCCTTCTGCAGTGGACCTAACTATGGACTGCCTGTTTGCACACTGCAAACAGTAAGTGGCATTCCATACCATTTGGTGTTGGAGTCGGTGTTGGATGGTAGAATGAAATGGTATAATGAAACATGGAGTCTGAAAACCATCTATGCTATGAAATCAGTCAATTCTGAATATGGTTAACCATACTTATTAATATTTATTGTTAATAGAGAGCCAGAACTATTTTGGAATTTGAAAAATTCTTACCAAAACGTTTGAGGAAAAAATTCCAACTTGGAGAACGATGTAAAGTGGCTGAAAATGACACCAGGGTGTGTTTAAGGTAAAGCAAAGCTAGAATACTGTGCTATCAGTTCTGCTTTTTATGTTTCTTCAAGGTTATTTCTTCTCAAAAGCCTCTTTAAAATACTTCTACATCTCTACCTATTACCCCAGGTGTACAAAAAGCCAATTTGTTGTTCCTTTTTTCATTTGTGACTGATTGTTTTAACAAAGGAAAAGTGTTCTAGGTTGTGGGGATTTTTTATGTAGACAATTTTTGGTTAAGAAAACAGATTTTCAACCTCCTATCTTTTTAATGTACTTTAATCAAGTCTGCTTGCAGTAAATGTCGCTGTCATCTCCTTTGAATGTTCACTTCAAAGTGACTATATTTAAATTGATTGCTAACTGATGATTACCATATTAAAGAATGTATTACTATGCTGGTTTACAAAAAATACTTAAATATTTAAGGTGAGTTTCCAGACTGTGCTTATAATGTGTGAAATTACAAAGTAGTTGTAGTATTCTCATCTTTATATAGTACATAGCACTGCAAAAGTCATTCAGCCTTTTAGTACTAGCAAAGCCAGTGCTGATGGTCAAGAACAATCCCAAGAAGGAATAAAGAAATAAAGGGGAAGTGCATCTCTGTAGCTGGATGATAATGCATACTAATAACACAACTTATATACAATATAACAGGATAAATGAAGTGAAATGGACCGAGTGGAAAACCCATGTTTCATTTATTAATGAAGATCCAGGGCCAACAGGTATTGCAGAATTTTATAACACCATATTTGTGAAATTGTGTTTGGTTTTTGGTCAGTTTTTTGTTTCTTGGTTTTCGTTTTCTTTTCCTTAGAAGTGCTTTGGTACAGTTTTATACCTTTAAAAATAGAAGCTCTCAGAATCCAGATATTCAAACACACTTTATTGCTAGGAAAACTCAGAGCTAACATAGTATGAGTGTTAAATTACTGGTAAATATTTGAAGAAAGGGTTATTTACAAACTCCTTATTTACATGTTGGTGCCAAAACATGATGGTTTCACCCTTTCTTTCTTTTTCTCCAAACAGGTGTGCTTGATCTAAATTTTACATTCTGTTATGGCATTTGAATGGGATAAGCTCAGAGAACTTTTTAAGAGAGAGGAAATATTTTGAAAAGGTTGCCATAAAGTATATTTAGTCCTTTAAATAGTTACACATAGCACTGCAAAATTTGCCAGGATTTCTACTTAACTATCCTATAGTCTGCTGGTTTAACCCTAGAACATTCATGTTTATGTTTTGTGATACGTATTGAATGACAAATAGTGAGTGTTGACCAGGAAATTCAAGATACCCATCTGCTGACAGTGTTGGAAGTGTAATAGAGAAATGACCTAACTTCGAGGTGTCAGATGTCCTTCTGGCAGCAGGCATCAGGATCTGGGAGACTAGTTCTGAAGGCTCTTGAGTCAATTAGCATTTATACTGCTTAGTAGCATGATCTCAGTAGTAATGAAAAGGGCTGACAGAAAGCCTTCTGTAGAAGATATGGTAGTAAACTGATGACTTGCTGTTTAAATAAATGCATGTTTTTTAACAAAAAAAAATAGATGTGCAAAACTTTGATCTTGCAGATACAGTTTCTACCATATCCTGGTTTGTTTACAATGCATTTTTTTTCAGATCCAAGCAAAAGTCAAGATAATTCAAGAACTAATAGCAAAACCACCCTGAATACATTTGAAGAAATGGATGATTTGCCTGAAACGTCTGTTTAGCTGTGCTGTGTTTGATATGTGGTCATTTGGAAGATTAAAAGCATCAGCAGTGGATGCTGAAAGCTTTGTTGATATTTTGGACAGCTGTAACCAGCTGGAACACAGACTTTTAGAGACATGGTCTGATGACCCTAATGAATTTAATCAGGACAGCTAAGATAAACTCAAATATAGTATTTCACTGGTTCATTTTTGAGCCTCTTGGAAACACTGCTGTCCAAGTTTGCGTGACACTACTCAAACTTGGCTCAAGATGTTTACTTGGATAAAAAAGGTCAAATGTGAGATATTTCTTCCTTTTGTGGAAAATTAAGATCATCATGATCCCAATCCGCTATATTTTGGAATCTCTAGCTCATGAGAAACATCTTGTATACTAGAAGAAAAATATCTGAGTTCTTGTTGTGGAGCAAAGAAAGGCATTTCAATTCTGAACTCTACTAAATGAAGTATGTTATTCTGGAATAACAATGTTCTGGAGACATTTGAAGCTTTTGTATTGACTGTCAGTGTTATTGGAGGCTTGATTTCACAAGCTGGAGAAAGGCCTCTTCAGGTCTCATTAGCTTTGCCTGATCTGTTTTCCTGTGTATAGTTCCTAGGGTATAACGTGGTGTTCACCGCTTTTTATGACCATGTATATATGCCTTCCCATAAAATAATGGGGCAGAAATGGAATTCATGATGGTGAATATTTCTGAGTTTGTTCAGTCACAAGCTCTTTACTTTTCCTACTTGGCTTTTCCATGGTGTTGCATCTTGCTGCATAAAGTAAGGTATCATACTGGAAGTTCTTCTTGCTTAAAAGCAAATTAATTTCTTATTTTCCTGAAGTGGCTCAATACAGAAGTCAGTATTTCTTCCCAAAATGAGCAAAATAAGTCAAATGCAATTGCAGAGTTATGAAGTTTTGCGGTTTGGTTATTTTTTTATTCAGAGGACTCTAATGCATTTCTGTAAGAGTTTTTATTTCATTACCTGTCATGACCTAGTTTAGTTTTTACTTTTCTAATTTATGTACGTATGTATAAAAAATTTGTTCAATGTACTTTTAAATTTCAATTAATGTATTGTGTTTTCAGTGTCATGGGCTTTCATCATATCTACTCTTTTGGTGCCTGTTTTAAAGGTGCTGTTTAGTTAAGACTCAGGTGAATTCTGTTGACGTTTGGATGATAATAAGAATTGCATTGGATTCTTACAGCTAAGCCTGTGTGCAAAATGACCCAAAAGACTTTCTTAGCACAGAAGAGAGCATGAGGGAACTCTCCAGTGGAAAGGATAGTGCAAAGCCGTTTGCAGGGATGGTGAACGTGGTTCTTGCTACACAACTGGTCATCTAAAGATGCCACATCCTGTGTTTCCTACCACGTATGGCCTGGATGGATGAGACCAGATTGAAATCTTCAATTCAATTACATTTTTACAGGGCATAGGAAATTGAGAGGAAGGACATCAGTAGACCAATATAATATGTGAGCATTGTCTGGCCTTCTCAGTAGGGTATGTGAGTATGAGAAGAAAAATTCCTCCGGTCTTAGAATCTTTCATTTTTGCTGGTTAATGTTGCATTGGAACTGCCAACAAAGAGTATCAATTCCCTTATGACTGTGCAGTTCCATTTGGATTCTTTTGAGTGCCAATTTTTGTACCAAAAAAAATACCTCTTCACATATACTCAGGAACCAGAATAAATTAGCTTCTGCTGTGCTCCCCGTTGCTACGGATAGACTTGTCACTAGAAACAAGTTGATGTATCTCTGCACTGTGCTGAAGTCACACCAAAGGTGTAGCCATAAACCAGGGAAGACACAAAGGAAGTCACTGTGCTGTGCCAATGACCAGGTACAAAACGTTGTTATAAAACTGAGGAAGAAGGTGGGGGGTTGTTTCTAAAAGTTCTTTGCTGAGGAAAACCCCTTTTTGTGGCCACAGAGCCCTGTCATGTCACACACACTGTCTATCTCCAGGCTGTTATCAAGAACCCTGTGAATAATGACTAAAGCAGATAATTCTGTACTTTTTATACAATGTTTATTTAAATTAAACTTGTAATTAAAAAACCATTGTCCCGTGTTTCTGTTTTATTGTCATAGAACTTACATAAAGCAAAGAAAAAATGCTTTAAATTTAGTAGTAAGGAAGATACAATTTGGGGGTCATCTAGACAATGAATCTTTCAGTAAATAGTCAATTACTGTATCATTATGCAAAGTTCCTGATGTTTTCTCTAGCCTCAGTTATGTTAAAAACAACTTTAGGAAAGTAATTAAATCTCCCATTTTCTTCTCTTTTTCAGCTACTATGACAGGCTTTCTCTCTACAGCTCTAGATCAAATCAGTCTCAAAACTCTGAGAAGTCTCCCCATATGGAATTCTTCCCAATTTCCATTCTGAAATACTCAGGTATGATGTGTGCATTGCTCTTTATTAAAACCTGAGTAATCACCTAACCTTGCCACCTTCACTGAAAACTTTGGGGTCACAACAGTTGATTAAAATCTGATTTGGCAAATGTTGTCAGCAGTAGGTGGATTCAGCTGTAAAGTTACAAATCTGTGAAACATCTTTTCTCCATTGCAGTAGAAATTTTCTTTGAAAGTTTCATAGGATAAGCACATCTTTTTCCTGAATTTAAATATTGTTCCAGTATGTTTGTAGCTGGTAGATACCTCCTAAATTAAAACCTTTTTATCTTTAATGTTAAATCAGAAACAGCTTGAATTAATCTTATAATACTTAAAAATTAAAAAGCTTTAAATGTCATCTAAATGTATGCTTTTCAGAAATCGTATGTTTTTAGCTTATTTTTATCTTTGTAAGTATAAAAATAAAAAACAAACCCTAAGGCTTCAACTTCAGTACAGCAGGGGTTAGTCCCACATGCACATAATAGAAAAGAATTTTGATATACATCCCCTCACTCTGTTTTTCTCTCCCTGGCTTTTCCTTTGTCTCATATTTTGTATGTTTACCTAAGGAATTCATTTCAAGGATCACCTCATTTAAAAAACTTGGGTTATTGGAGGCTTCAGGTGATAATGCAGAAATGCTGTAGATTTTTTTTTATATAACACAGTTCTGTGGATCAGCATCTTTCTAGAGGATGATGGATGTAAGTTTTATAGTCACTAACCAGTATGTGGTAGTGTGTGAACTAATAAACGTCATAAAAATATTTATTCTTTGCATCTATAGTGATCTATTAGAACAAGTGACCAGTAGTCATAATTACCATTATGACAGTATGTTTCCTCTTTAAAGTGCTCAGCAATGTTAATTAAATTATGATTAAAAATTAGATTCTGCATTTGTTATTCCACCAGTGACTACTAATTGTCACTGGATTTCAGAGAGGAAATCCACTTTTTGCACGGAAAATCCATGATGAGCTTTTAGGAAGTGCTGTGGTCTAAGGCTGAGGATCTGATGTGTTTTGCAGTGAGTTTAATTTTTACTGTTTTTACAAAAGCTTGTTTCTTTTCGTAATAAGCAGCTTCATTAATAAATGTTGGATAGACTGTACAGTTCTCTTTATATGCAATTACTTCTCCATCAAGAGTCAAAAATAGAGGATCACCGTTGTTCAGTGGCTGCCAGTCTTGATCCTTAGAGAAAGAAAATAAATAGGATATATTTATCTTCAAATTTTCAAGTATTTCATGTGATTTCTGAGTTTAGGCTTATTAATTATATTCTCTGCAGTTTATGGCAAAAGCATTTAAAAGAATTCCTCTTAACCTTCAATATGTAATTTCAGGTGTCTGTCCCTTTTTCAGGTTTGTATAGAATTCAGTGGTAAAGGTGAATTAAGAGGAAACTGCATATGCTCACAGTTGATATCAAACAGACTCTCATTTTAGAATTAAAAATTAGATTTATATTTCAGAATTTAAGCTATCCTACTGCCTTTTTCTTTTCAGTTTTAGATTCAAAAGTGACATTAGTCTCGGTGATTCCCAGGGTATGACCTTACTGATAGAACTTACTATAGGGAAAGTCTAAAGTTTTTCAATAAACCCGCTGTCAATATTGTCACTTTAAATATTTACTATTAAAATATACTACAGTGTAGCAGAAGCAACACAGGAATATTTATAAAACATCACAAACAGAAACTATTTTAGAATTTACCTGAAGTTTAGGGTGAATAATAGCAATAACTTCATCATTCTTATTCCTGGGATAATCTACTTTCTCCATTATTTTAAAAACCTCGATTGTACATGGTGGAAATTCCTTTCCTAGAAAGAATAAATGTAATTTAATGTCAAAAATGAACAACTGCCTGTTAAAAAGAACAAAGCATTATTTATTCTCTTTAGAATGGCTCAAATCATTAGGTTGTATCTTGTCAGTTTACATCAGCGATTAGCTCTTATCATAAAAATGTCCAGCTCCAGACTTTTTGTCCCCTCAAAGTCAAGTTGCAGAAAGATGGTCCAGTCATGTATTGTAGCATATGAAGCCAGGTCTAAATTTGCTACTGAAATATGACTTCTTTATCCTTAAACAGATATATTTATAGATGAATCAATGAAAGGCCTGTGTTTGGTAGGGAAGTACAACACAGGATGGTATCAGTGGTATTTTATGATTTCAGCACAGTAATGGAGATTCTAACACACACAATTATATTAATTTCCTTCTACTCCCCAAAAAAAGCCTACTAACAAAATGGACTCTAAAAGAATTCTAAACACCTATTGTTGTCAGTATTTTAGGTGGTACACAGGTAGAACAAAATCTTACAGAATTGATTGACTTTAATTTTAGATATTGCACAGAAGGTGTGTAAATTAAACCCCTCTTTCTTAGTATTAATTTCTCTATGTTCTCCATGATCATACTATACAAATAGCTGGTATTTCAAATTCTCAAAGTATCTGTAAGATTAAGATCAAGCAAACTTACTGAATCTTTAGAAAAAAGAAACAGGCTTAAAGCTACCCAGAGGAGCAATACAGGAATTCTGACTTTCTGAAGCCACACAGATGGCCTCGAGAACAATCCTTTCCCCCTTTTTCCTGTTTAAAATATTGTAGCCTACCCTATTTTTGAAAAAGTACTATTTTGCAGTGGTGCACTGATACAATACAGAGGCTGTATTTTCTTCTTATTTACTCTACCTTCATTAAAAAGTTGCACAAAATCAAGGCCATGTTTTACAATCTTCCTCATTTTGTCCAAAATATCAGCTCTAACAACACCTTGTGGCTGGGGACCCACCTCCACACCTGTTTGCAGATGAAGGAGATTATTAATATAGCCATAATACATAATCACATGCTTAGATTACACAGCATAAACAGATGTCTGATTGGGTCTATGGTTTATGTTTAAGAGGAACTGTAAAATACAGTTACAAGATTTTTAAGGCAAGCAGAAAATTTGGCTCACAGACAGGATCAGTTTAAAGAACCATATGTACATTTTGGAGTGTCTTACTAGTGTCAGAGAAAGGGTCACTACATATATTTGCTTCTCTTATCCTTTTCCTAATCCTAGCTTTCCATGCTGCATTTTAGAGAACACATTGTTTAACATGAAAAGCTAGCTAATGATTTTCTTTCTATGGTTATGATTCCATAAATGAAAAAATTAACCCTTTCCATGCAGAATATAATTTTCCCCTTTCTTTATCATATCTTGTCTTTTCCCCTTCTCAACTAACAACCAGAGTTTCAGCCAAGGCTTATTTAGAGGATGTAAACATTTCTTTTCTGAAGCTTCTTCCTTATCCTCATATATCATAAGTATTTTTGGCAAACAGTGAGTTAACTGAGTTTAAGCATTTCCATCTGGCTTCTGTATTTTGTAAGCCAAGTATAAATCGGAACTCTTCAAGAAAAGAGAAAATCAGAGACATTTGACTCGGTAAATATATTGTCAAACAAACACCTACTGGTGATCAGAGCACTCTGTGCAGTGAAATTAACACATCTGGAAGCAGGCATATTTTAAAATACTTTATGGTGGGTTAAAATAGTCTTTATTTTTCATATTTACCAACAGGATGTTTTGCTACAGATCGAGTTGTTGCGTATTTCAAGCTAGGATGTTCAATCAGCAAAACAGGACAGTGTTCTGGAGCCAAAGCATTCTGTGGAGATTGTTTAAAAATGTCTTTGTTATGCAAATATTTTAAAATGTTGTGCCACAAAAGATTACTGATGCAGAAGTGATTTACACAATGTCTTCAATATGTTGCCTTTATTTCATGGCCCTCAAAGAAGTAGGACATCTTTAGAAAACGTACAAAGCTGTATTTGTTCCTCTCCTTTCCATTAACTCCTGCCAGCCATGCTCCACTAAACTTTGCTGTCTCCTAATATAACTGAATACAGTTCTAGTCTTAAATTGCTAACAGGAAGGAAACTACCCATCAGTGTTCCAGAACTTGGAATCAGAATACTGCAAAACAGATTTCAAGTATTTTTGTGTTAGACTTAGATCCTCTTACAGGGACGTGGATTGTGAATTAAGCCTTATTGCAACCTTTTTTTGATATAGAAACTTATTTCAGGCCTCTTTCCTGATCACTGCCTACCATTGCTCTTCATATAATTTTAGTCATAAGCTTTCTGTATTTTCAAATATTTTATAAACAATTAAATGGGATAGATATAATAAGAAAAAAAAAATCAAATGTGAAAATAACTAATTTCTAAGGAAAAGAAAAAAAAGCCAAACCTTGATCTCATAAATCACTGTTGAGGTCAATCAGATTACACTTACGGCAGCACTTCGCAAACCTCCCTCTACCTATACTTATCAGCTTCAGGAACCACAGAATCAAACAGCTTCTAAAGACATATTGCTATTACTATAATTACTGATGAAAGGAACATTTGTCGTTATCTACTTCCATTATTTTTTACATATCTTTATTTCATAAAATTAATGTTTAGCTATTTAGCATGTGTGACCAAAATTTATCCAAGTTCCTGACAGATCAGTGTGAAAGCAGATTAGATTACATTCATTTTCATAGGTGTTAACCTCTTTTCCTATCAGTCTTACTATCACTCATTTTAATACATGAAGATTGAGTTCAAATCTTTATTACCTGACATTATAATCAAAATATTATCTCTGATTAAAAGATCAGCCTATGAGTGATAAAATATTTTAAAGTTTTGCAGAATAAAAAGTAGTATATTTAAAGAAACTACAAAATAATATATAGTAATACAACATTACAACTAATAATCTATTTTTATAGTTCATTTAAATTAATTTTACCTTGATATAATGCAACATTTGAATTGTAAAGTCATCCCTGGAGTTTTCAAGGATAAGGGTACCACCCATGTTAGAAGTGGTGTTGTGAAGGTCAAAAATAAGGTCATACGCATCATCACTACCTTTGGGACCAAATATATGATTGATTTCCTGAGCCCTTCTCACTTCATATGGAATATCTTCCACCACTGGCCTGCTGTTAATATCAGTACAAAGAAATTAGTAAACTCATTCCATGGCTTTACAGTCAACAACATATGTATACCCTTTCTTTAATTCCATTAACTGACTGGAGTTGAAATCACCTATTTTGTTAGCAAACTGTTAAAACTTTCTGCTTGAAAAAAGCAAGTATGATTGTTAAATGGGTCTTACTATTCTGTACCTTGTGCAGAAGGATAATAAGATTTTTTTATCTGATTTTAGCTGGAGCCTATATTCTTCTCACTTATTTACATTTAAAAATTTCCCCCGATGCATCAAAATAACTCAAAACTTATCAACAGCTTAAATCACTTCCATGACTGGATTCAGCTCCTACTGCAGATGGTATTCTGATAACAGTCCCTGCCCTTTTACCTGGACATCACTCACAAGGTCTTTTGTAATTTCATTTCTTGTCTTCTCATATTCTGATCAGACTTTTACAGTGTATTGTTTTGAGCCCTCCTGACCCTCAAAGGTCATAGAAGATTTTGCTATTTCAAATCTATTCCTCTAGTTTTAATACGCGTAATCTCAGCTGATTATGACTGCACTACACTTTAAAAACATGGTCATTGCCTAAGGAAAGCTCTGGGATCTGCTGCTTGTCTGTATAAGGGCTCTAGAGGAAACTGATGTATGACACAAATTTTTTACATAAGCCACTCAAGCTCCTTTTTGTATTTTTACGATTCTGTATATCACATAATCGACTTTTATATTCTTTAGTTCTGTCTTTGAAATTCAAGTTTCTTCATAGAACACTGTTAAATTAATACTTATCAAACTCAATAGGACTTCCACCATTGCTATCAGTAGTATCAGGATTTCACTCTCCTTTTTCTTATTTTGTAAAATCGTTTGCAATCTTGAAGAGTCTACACTTAAAGGGATCAGGTGAAGGTATTCCAAACAGTTAATAGTGTTGTAATAGGACTGAGCAACTTCATATGATTTAATGAGGACAACCTGCAGATGTCTTAATCTGCTGTTTTTTCAAGTGTTCTATGTTCAAAGCAGCTGAAAACAAACAAGCTCATTTTTTTATATAAATATGTTTGTCCTATGTAAGCAGTTAAAAGAATGACCTCAACTCTTACATGTTAAAAAGTCTATTTATCTTCTATATAGTAACAGTAAAACTCTAAGATGAAAAGCTAGATGAAAAGACGTGCAGAGTAAGAATAACCATGCTTACAAAGTAAGTGATACATGTTTCTTTCAGTAAGATTCAGCTTTACCATTAAGACCTTTCTGAAATGTGATAACCTGTTCAGCATGTAACTATACCAAGCATAAGAATTTTTATATAGCAAAGTACACCTATGGAATAGATGTCTCAAGAGCTGAGAAACATAAAATCCCATTATAAATGTAAAATCAATTGCTATCTTACATAATTATAGATTTAATTTCTTCTAAATAATGAGTCAGTTAAATTATTGAGACTTTTTGGCTATCGTTTTGACATAGAATATATAATTTCTAACTTAGTTGATTGCAAATTTTTATCTTTCACTGTATATAACTGAAAGTAAATACACTTCCCCAATTCGTATGCCATTTTTTTCTGATACTCAGATGTCTAACTTTAAATTGTTTTTATCTGTTTTCTGAATACAATTATACTTGCAGGAAAATGAGCTCCAAAGCTGTATTGCACAAGAAGACGTGAGAAATAATGACTTTGGAACTCAGAGCAGCAATACTTAAGTTTACACAAATACAACTAATCCAAAACTAATTTAAAATGCTGTATTTGAGACTATATGTGGATTTAGATTCATTCTACTAGCAAGAGGTTTAAAATGAATCTCTTAACGCTCACGCAATTTGTTCTTTTTGGGTTAAAGGTCAGTAATTTCAGTTATGTGACTGCACAGTTAAAATAGTAGTGGAACTTGTGTTAACATTTTAATCTGGAAAGGAAGCTCCTTACAGTTTTAAAGAACAGAAAAGTAAAACAACAGAAAGGACAACTATTCTTACCCAAGATTATCAAAGTCAAAAACACGGTTCAGATCACAGTCAATGTATCTAGTACACTTCTTCACAGCTCTTGGGTTGGTAAGAAATGGTTTCACTTCCATTCCTGTTCTTTGAATCTCAGCTCCATTCTCTTGCCAGTGCTTGATCAGAAACACCCCTGATAACTCATTGCCATGAGTTCCCCCGAAGATAGCAACCCGTCTTACCGGAGGTTTACAAACAACAGAAGAGGAAGTCATGCTTTTCAGCAGCTCTAAGAAGTGCTGAAAGCAAAACAGAAAATAAAGTAAAACTGTTGTCTCAAAAGAAAAAAACCCAACCCAAAACCACACCTTTTTTTAATAGTGAATTCTTTAAGCCTGTTTAGGTCAGATGTGAACGAAAGTGAATTAACATTTCTGCAAGAGTTTTTGACTCCCGTTGTAAGGCAGGGAGTTGCTAACCCAGCACTCCTCCCTCTCCAGGAGCCCTCCCCTTCATTTACCATATTTAGTTAATGGTACTGTTACACAGTTCAAAAGTTAACTTCTCCTGGCAATCTCTATTAATATATGATATATAGGTAAATCTTGTATGAATGACAGTATGAAAATACCTTTTTAATGTAAACTTTAATAATGCACTTAAATATCTCTGACATTTTTGCATTGCAAAGTGGGTGTAACAAGTATACTCATGTATGTTTGAAGTTACATAAACATTACAGCATGTGAGGGCAGAATTATTTAAAGAGCAAACCCAGTAAAATGAGAATCATATCTTGGCTCTAGATCAGCACTTAATGCTGAAACATCAAGTACTTTCACCTAAAAAAACAAGAACAGCTGAGTTCCTCAAAGCATGTTGTTGCTTGTATAACCTTTTTTGTTTTATAATATCTGAAGAACAGCGATTACAGGGAACACTATCTGAAATTAAAGTGCAATTTATCCACAACTGACTGCCCTAATATTCCTGGCTCTAGTTCTATCTCACAATCTGCTAACACAGACCTCTAGCACATTGAAATATCTCTGCCAGTGACAACCCTTCTAACTCCTGCAAACTCTTATGAAAAAGGAAACACATACAGACCACAATGGGACAATAGTCATGGCACCCCCAAATAAAACCCCTGAGTCAACAACTGGACTTCTTCCACTTCCAAAAGCATTCAGACAGGTTTCTGAAACTCAAGCCAAAGAGCAGCCATAACTTCCATTGTGAGGATCAAAACATTCAGAATAAGAGGGCTTAATAACAGAAAGTAAGCACTTTGGTGCTGTGACAGAAGTATTTGCAACTAGCATCTGGCACATGATATAAATATAAAAAATGCCACTTTGCAAGAGAAGGAAAAGTGTTTATTGAACAATTCCTTTTTTATTAAGATTATACTCCAGTGACTGAGAGAGTATTTGGCTAGTGCCTAGAAGAGGCTTTCTAATGCAGGCTGATAGACGGTAGGTCTACAAACATAAAGCTAAACAGGACTTACCTAGACAAGTTCTGCCAGGAATATTATTTCCTACAGAAGTTGCTCTCTATGTTTCAGCCTATGCACACAGATTTGCTGAACCTTACAGCAAGTTCATACAGAGAGGCTGTTTACTTAGACACTCAACTGTGTTATTCCTGTACTTAGAAGCTGTCAGGTACTTAATTTTAGTAAGTAATCTATTAAACAAAGCAGTAAAGTTGTATTTTACAGCACCGGACAGTCTGTTCTGTCCTTTGACCTCAGTCTCTTTAGCAGTGGTGCCAAAATGGCTATTTACACTCTGCCTGAAAAAATGACTCACGCTCTGAATCTCGGTTTGCAGAGTCTAAACACCACAGCAGTCTGAAGAGCAAACGGCAAAACACAGACACACAGTGCTGGTACGTGTAGCTTTTATTGCTGGTGGTACTGTAGCGGTTATAATTCCTTGCAAAACGCTGAGTGAAATGCAGAGATTGCCTGTGCACTTACCTCATTGAACATGCAAGAAGTTTGTCTCCTAAGAAGAGCTTTCCTAGGACAGATACAGTGCATTTCCAAACATGAGTTTAGGAACTAAAGCCATGGAGGCTTCTTTTATACCCTTAGAGCACATTAACTTCTAAACAGCTTTTAACTCCTGATCTCCCAGGACATTACAAGCACCCACGAATCTGTGGCACAAATGAAGACACTTGAAAAGTTTCACTGTTCTGAATTAACCACTGGGACCAATCCCTTATTCCTGTGCTTTGCCAATACACTTTGACAGATTATGTAAGATCGTATTTAATTTATTAAGAAGTCAGGCTGTTTTTCTGTACTATATCCAAGTATCTGGTAGTGCATCTGAGAGCTTAGAATGTGTGCCACGAGCTGAGAAACAAATGCAATAATAAAACATACATGAAGTCTGGCTATCAAAGCCACTTGGCAAAGGTGTGTTTAGGAGGTGTAACGTGGCTCTCCAAGGCTGCCTCAGACTGAAATAAAAATGATGGGTGCTAACCCTGCTGAGCTCTGAGATTTTACACAGGAACCCCTCAGAACTTATTGTTGAAAACAGTAACTTTTGAAACGGTAACGGCTGAAAACCAGCCATGAGTAAACCCAGAACAGTGAGGAATGCAGGGACCCTTATTCATCTCCTTGTTTGTGTTCACACAGTTGTGGGTATTCAGCTCCTGCCCCGGGATCAACAGGTGCTGAACCTGGCACCACCTGGGCCCAGTTCCAGGGGCACGGAGATAATTAAACCCCACCGAGGACCCATTTAATCGTTCCTGCTGCTTCCCCCGTCCTCTCTCCCTGCCTGGGGCCGGGCGGGCAGACCCTCACTGGCGGCCTCCCGCGGCCGGTAACGCCAGCATCAGCAAAGCGGAGCGCGGTCTGTCAGCGCCTTCCCGCCCTTTTCTCACTCAGGTGCGAGGACATGATTGTCTCGTCCGTTATTTTTGGCGGGCTTCACCTCAGCCGCATCCTTCGGGTTGCAGCGGGGGTTCAGACTCCTTTACCCTGGGGCTGGAGCTGCTGCGGGCGCTCACCCTCGTGTTTCCTGCTCTCCGTCCTGAGGTAACTGTTTTCTACAGCTTTAGCTCTGGGTTTTGGCTGCTTCTCTTGAAGACAGGACAGAAAGCAAAGTGATGCAGTCTAAAATCCTGTGCAACACCAGATCTGGCTTCATAAGCTGAAAGGTCAGGTTTATGGGGCTTTGCTTTACAAGCGTGCCACTTGCTGGTGGCCACTAGGCTGCATAGTGCTAGCAGTATAGTTTAAAGCAAACAAGTTAACTAGAAGCTGCTCTGATGTTGTCACACATGCAATTGACATAAGTCAATTACGAATACAGTGCATTTCGAAACCCTAACAGGAAAAGAAGTGTAAACTGCGCCATTAGTCTAGCTGTAGCAGATAATTGTGCTTCGTTCTTACCAACATCTTTAACAGCTGCATATGATTAACTGCCAGATCAGAATAAATGTAGAGATGATGTCTTATTTATACACACAAGTATGAGGTGTTATTCATATGATGCTAGAGGCAATATAAGTCAGTAGCTAACTTCGACAGAATAGCAACTCATGCTATCCAACAGCTTGTGTATTGTCCTTGATGTACACAGCAATACATAGACATTTACTATAGAAATAGATTAATCAGAAAGCAAATACTTCAAACTACCTCTAGTATGCTATAACATTTGGCTGATAATCATGTTTTTTGACTTGTGAAGTATTTTATATGTAACAAAATTGACTCAAGGTTTTAGGTCTGTACCATAAAGTACAGAAAAGAAGTTTATTGAAGTGTGACACTAATTTTTCACAGAATAGTTAAATCAGCTTTTATTCCATGTACCAAAGCCATATACCTTGCTGTCACACTTTGCAGCAAGGTAGAAGTATGCATTTTCTGTTAGTGTTCTCTTTTCAGGAGTTAAAAAGCATTCCTTGTATTTGAATGTATATGCACATCTAAATTCAGAAGTGAATTCAGTATTTTTACAGCATTTAAAGGACAGAATGCAACTTTGACTTCAGAAACATTTGGGCCCTTAATCTGTGAAGAGCATATTGCATGTTATTTGTATACCCCTGGATCTTCTAAATCCAGTAAAACTGGGTGTATAGAGAGTTAAAAGAAACTGACATCAAACCATGTAAAATCTGGGTATTACAACATGAATTAGTTTACTTTGCTTCTCTAACTTCCATACAGCAAACCTGGAGTAATAAATACACTGTTGCTTGTTAAGACAGAGAAAAGAAATGAAAAGGAGTCTAGCTGATGCTCCAACTCGTAGCACAGCAGGTACCAAGCATTCTTCCGTGATTTACCATTCATGCCTCATTAGGCTTATATATGTGTGTGTGTGTGTGTGTGTGTGTGTGTTATGCATACATGCAATATTCATGGAGACTATACAGTATTCAGCCCTAGAGCCCACTGCCCAAATGGACTTGCATGTCTTATCTGTTTTACTGCAGCACAGGACAAGATGTTGAACGGGTCAGAGCACTGATCAGAGGGAGATGTTATGTTCATGGGATTATTTGCAGGACAGAAGGTTGGGAACATAAATCCTGTGAGGCAGTGGCTGGTCTGTTATGTGTTAATGAAATTAATTCTTATGGGGGATTTAAAATAAGTAATTTTATTTACATATTTTTAAATGTAGTTTGTGTTTCCTTTTGCTGTTGGTATAGTATTATTTGAATTTTAATTTTAGGTTATCTGCCTGTACCTCTGTTCAATCAGAAAAAACGAAATAGGCAGCCCCTGACTTCAAATCCACTTAAAAGTGAGCCAGGAACCAGTTCTGGGACTTGTACTTACAACTTTTCTCCCACATCTTACGGTAAATAAGATCTTCTTTTTCTTTTCTAATTGGCTCTACATCCAAGTAGAGCTAAACTTTATGATTGTATTTGACTAAATTAGACATTGTCTTTATCAAGAACTATATGCACCCATTATGTTTATCTCTGAAAAGTTCATTATGTAAAAAATGTCCTCCAGGAAATTTCTTTCTCCTCTATACAATTGAGCTTTTTATACTTTGTGCCTAGAGGGAGTTTGACTCTTTGTCTGTTAGAGAATGAAGTAGCACTGGCATTTAAATAGAGTCTCTTGAAACTCTGACCTTTTGTTTTCAGTTGATTTCAATCAACATTCAAGTCCTGTGTTACAAGAAGAAACATTTATAAGATGTCTTTCTTGTACTACAGAAGAGAGCTTGTTCTTCAAATTGTGCTTGGGAAGAATGATGCAGAATTCTGCCTTTAGTACTTTAATTACGTTTTGTATATAATAAAATAAACAAGTTTATTTATAATAAAGTAGGAGTCTGTGCTAATAAGTCTAATGTCTATAACTTAGCCATTGTCTGGAGAAGCAACCTACTTGTTAGAAGTTGCCATATAATTACAGATGTCAAAGGATCACATTCTCTCACCCTTTTTTTCCCCTTCCTTTATGAAACAATTTGTGGAACCTTAAGCAGATGAAGAGTAGGAGCCCTAAGTAGACATGTTACTTTTCCAATTTTTTCAGTTTGTGTCCGTATTCAGTCCTTTGCCTTTTCATAATTAGGCTGGGGATCTGCAAACCCAGAGGAGGATGAATTACAGAAAGCAGCAAACAATGGGTATGTAAAAGCATGTTATTTGTTGTGTGTTAATTTTTATTTGGGCACTAATTGTTACAAAAACTATCATCCATGTGTCTCTTACAATAAAGCTCCTACTGTGTCGCTGATACTTTAAACTTATATTTGAAAGCGAAACAGAACATGTGATTGTTCCTTCCCTTATGAAACCACCAAATGCATCAAAATCTTATTTAGCAAATACTGGAAAAAAACTTGTATGCCTGCAGGTTGGTGGCATCTTGAATTTTTATTCTCCTTCCTTAACAAAAATTTTCTCATGTGAAAATATATCTTAGATTTTTCCACATTATTGTAGCATTCAGACACCCTTTCAATTCTCAGATCATCACTGTAGTCCTAAATAATTACATTGTGCCAACAAGCGAAAACCCAGGTAATCCAGTATCTTTCCAGTGTACCTAATGAGGTCTGCTAATTAGACCTAATACCTAGCCTTGTTGTCAGGCCTAAAATTCAGTCTTACCATACAAGTTGATTGAATTTTGCTGGTCTTAGATGTATTTATTTATTTTTTTTTAGATTCCCCTTTCCTTAAAGTTTTGCCCACTTTCCAATTTTACCAATAGATTCAAATAAGTTTCTATCAGTGTACATTAGGGCAATTTTATATCAAAGCATTTAATCAAAATTAGATATGATTTTGAACACTGTGCTTTTACAAACTTAGGAAAAGCTTACAGATTCAGATGCTTAGAGCTGGCTGGAAAACTTTCAGCAATGTTATAATTGTCCTTTTTCTCTGTTTCCTCCTATTCCTTTCCAATGGCAAAAAGAAAATGAATATTTGAAAAAAAGTGCCTTCAAAGGCAAAATGGAATGGAGGTGGAAGAAACTTCAGAGTGCCTTTATAAAAAAGTGTGTTAGAAATAGTAAGGTCAGGACTAGAGTTTGTTTTAAAATGGTTTTTTCATTGATGGTTATAGAAAAATTTGGAAATATCACTCTCAGGAGAAAACTTTCTTATTTTGAGAGTTATGGAAAAATAGTGAATCTTAGGTCAGAAAGATCGCTTATAGAGGGTGGGACAGTAACTGAGCAAGCTTTTCAGGCCTATTGAATTCAGCTGGATTTAAGCACAGGTGTGATCGCTGCCCTGTATATGGGTAAATTTTAGTGTATCCTCTAGTGCTTTGAGTCTGAATATTTAACATGTTTCTAAAGCTAAACCAACAATATGTAGGTTGTTTTAACAGACTTTAATTCCATATCTGAGTATTCGGAATAGATACTGTGATACTGAACTACCTTATGTTGTGCTGCAGGGCAGAAGAGAAGAGTCCCAGTGCTAAAGTTTGGAATAGAAATGAGTATGCTCCTTTAAGTAACATGAAAGATTCAAGACCTGAGAGTGGAATTATTCGAAAGTTTGAGAACCTTTCATATAGTGTGAAAACTGTTCAGCAGCAAAAATCCCCTAATAACCGTAATTCATCCCGACTTCTGAAAACAACAGAAACCTGCCAAACATCAACATCTAAAGGTCAATGGCCAATGAAACCTAACACTGTTTCAAGAAGTCTGCAGGATCATTGTCTGGCATATAAATTTACCTACAATATCCATCAAAATAAAATAAATGAAAACAAATTTGACTGTGTTCCAGAAGACAAATGTCAGGTAAATTTATGGAGAGAGTTAATAGGAAAATAAAATAAAGGAAACAGTAAAAAAAAAAAAAGGAAATTGAGGGAAGATGAGGCTTTCATCAGCCCTAGCTGCCTTGGAAAACACTTACATTTCTGAAAACTTAGAATTGAGATTTTCATAATGCAGTAACCTACAGTCCTCATATAAATTGACAGGGAGTTGTTTGTAGACTAATTTTAATGTAAATACTGGATTTTTAACATAATATATAAATGTCTATGTGTCTTTTAAAATTGTGTGAGTGTGTATCTCTGACCTGAGTCTTCATCTTCCTCTGAAAGCAATTTTCATCATCTCAATTAAAAATCAAAGAAAAAAAGAATTCTTTGCGTATCATATCTGCAGTCATTGAAAGTATGAGGCACTGGAGTCAATATGCTTATAAAACACCACTGCTATTTGAAGTTTTAGGTAAGCATGGAAGATTGTGCTATAACTGATACTAATGGTATGACAATAGCCAAGAGAAACTTTAAGCAACTGTAGAAACAATAGGCGAAATACTCAAATGCATAAAATACTGGCCTGAGCATTCTGATTGTCCTGCTGGGACATCCATTCAGCTAGCAAAGGTGGCTAAAATAGGTACAAAAATAATAATATGGTCATTCTCCGACATTTAAGCTCTTTCTGTCCTGTTAATTTTCTTTTCTTGTTTTTAGAATGTGTTACCATAATTTTTCCTATTTAATAGGAACCTTCTGTAGAGAGGTACAGTTTTACAGTAATTTTTAATACAATTGATCTAGTCTGGAGCACTTTTAAACACAGATGGCTTTCAGTGTGTTTCATTTTGGTTTTAATTGATGTTACCTGAGAAATGCACATGACAAAAGACTGGAATGACTAAATCAAGGTAAGAATATACAATGTAATGGCATCCCAAAAAACTATTATTTTGACCAGGTTGCAAATATTTAAAGTTGATTTGCATATGAAAAACTTAGAGAATAGTGTTGTGCTCTGCCTAAGGAGGGAATAACCTGTTTACAGTGACAGTTTTTTGAAAACCACGCAGTTTAGAGAGACACATGCAACTGTACTGCCAAAAGACTGTGTAAAGCACATAATAATATTGGAACTTCCACAGCTGTCAGCATGAGCTCTCCCAGAAAGCTGATGCTGACTTTCTATCTCGTAGTGCTTTGGTGTGTAGATGCTGTCAGGGTATCTTTGTGTGTTATACTTAGTACTGTTCTGAATGTTTGCATCGTGATTTATATCGTTTGATGCATACTGCAGGCACCCTGGATTCTGCAGTCACACCTGGAACATATGGGTCTAAGAATTTCCTTTTGAGGGATGGAAAGGAGAGTCTGCCTTGTGTATTTTATGAAATTGTAAGTATTCTGTGTCTGTATGTAACAGACACCACTAGCTCTAATTTGAGGCTGATAATAGGTTGTTTTGATAAAACAGAAAATTACTATGTAACAGGGAAGCTGGATGCTTATACCATCTTGTCCCAGCCTGTTTTAGAGCAATAATCTAGTGACTATTCCGGCATCCTCAGACTTCTGTTTCAGAAAAAAAAGTGGGACTTTAGTTCAGCTTCAGTTGAGAACAAAAAACTGATTTGAATTCAATTTGTGATGTAGACTTCAGACATTTTGAAATCTTTTCTGTTAGGTGATATAATTTTTTTAATTTGTTTATTATGCTTTCGATGAAGGACCGGGAGCTTCCAAGACTAATTAGAGGCCACGTGCACAGGTGCATGGGGAACTATGATGCAAAAAAGAACATTTTAAAGTGTGTCTCTGTAAGACCAGCAACTATTCAAGAACAAAATACTTTCCAGGAATTTGTTAAAATTGCAGATGTTGAGATGACAATGTATGTCAAAACAGTGAATGAAATATAGAAGTTGGAAGGGTTGTCCGGAACAAATTTTCACTAATGATCACCACTGAAAGCTGGATATCCTGAAGCATTTGCCAACACTGATACTGAAAATCTGATTCAGTAATTCTAAATAGCACTATACTGTGTCATCGAACAAATGTTAGTAACAGTTACAAACAAAAAGATTATTAACAGTGTTTTGTTTTCACTACTACATTTTATAGCTTATCTTTCCCAGTTAAATATGCAGTAACAGGGGTTTGTTAGGTAGTAGATTAGATTTTACTGGAGAAATTTAGAATTAAAATGTTTTAAGCTTTGCAGTAGTGCAAGTAGCTTTGAAAAAGATCATCAATCCTAATTCAGATTGCCATTGCTTTTCATTTTCTTCAATATTTAGAAATTCCTTCAGTATCTGTTTCAAGATGTTGACTATATTCTTCTTTGCAAAATTTTCTTTGACCCTGCATGTTGCATTAAAGCTGCTTTTTGGTAGGAAGTAAGAAGGTAGTCTTTATTCCACTTCAGTTCCAGCTAACAGATTCCCTTTCCTTTGTTGTCTTACAAGAACATGTGTAAAAGCTTTTCTAGAAATAAACAGATAATACAGAAAGACTTCACAGGATGCAGCTGTATATATTAGATATTCATATGGTTCCTGCTGATATGTTATCTGATTCATGAGTTTTCTTAAATAAATAATCAGTATAACACCTGTATAAAACAGCAGCAGACCCTGAAGCTGTAGGAAGATTGCCCAGGCACTCTGAGGAAGTTGGGGAGAAACAATTATTTGAACACAGAACTTCCTTGCTTTTGCCATAGCAACATCTTTCATGACGGATCGTCCATATGCATGTTTATGTGTCTTTGCCTTCAAACATTGACTTTCATAGATTATTCCTGCTGTTTCTTTTTCCTTTTCCCTTAGCTAGTTCCCTTACTTCAAAAGCTTTGTACCAGATCTACTGGGAATTGTAAAACAAAAGAGTTGTCAAGAAAACACTGAACAGTGTGATATCTTTTTAAATTTATTTTATTATACAGTGTTGGCAGTTGGAAATTTCACATTTAAAATAATTGAAATATTGTATCCAACAAGTCAAATACAGAAAACAGTTAATATTCTAAAAAGGAGCCAGCTAGTCAACGCAGAAACACGTTAATGGAAAATACAGCCTTTAGTTACACTTAAAAAATTATGTATTTAGAATAAAAGTTGAACCTGGTCCAGTAAACCATTTGACTTCTAACAGAAAAACGCTTTTACACAGTTTAACACGCAGACAGTCTTTATTTAAAAAAGTGATCTGTCAGTGTTATCATATGTGTGGTTAGCAACACCCCCTTCAAGGTTCCAGTTGAGGATTTAAAGTATGTGCTTTACTAGCTGCTTAAGAATCACTTGTATTATCATCTCTTCCTTCTGTGCTAAACTGGTTCCGAATGTGGGTATTTCAAGGGGAGTTTTGTCTATCCAGTTGTAGAGGTCATATACATGTTTGATTTCCTTTATCTATTATAAAATATTAAAGTTCCAAATGGAAGCATTAGCTTAACTCATAAAAGATGCAGAATATTACAGGATGTAAAGCTGAACGATGCTCACAACAGAAAAAGTTGAGTTTTAAGAAGTAAAGGATTTGGTACAGCAGTGTTATAAATTGTAAGACTCCACTGTAACAGTAATTTAAAACTACAAAGGAAGCTGCAGCTATGGGAGCAGTCCTGCAAGCATCTGTGCGTGGCATCAGTGATGCAGTCCTACTGATTTCAGTTGTCTGATTGATGGTCCAGTTCTGCACATGTGAAAGATATGACAGGAATAGGTCATCTGTGTCTGTTAGGTATGTTATGGCTGTTAATAAAAATCTAAAATAATTTTACTTTCTGTGTTTAGATCTTTGCAGAAAAATTTTCTACTTTACACTAACAAATCACTTTTTCTAGTGAAACAGTAAGTGAACAGTCGTAAACATCACACAAAACAGAAACCCCCTACATAATACAGTTTATACACATTACTCAACATTTTCCAGTTGTTGGTTGATTGGTGTTGGGTTTTTTAACCATATTGATCCTGTCTTGTATAATGTTTCTACAGTAAAGGCACAGGTTGGTTAGGAAAGAAAAGCCTGCATCTCTGTCTCTCTACTTCACAATGATTATTTTCTCTTTACATGTTGTTTGTTATTCCTCACTTTTCTGACTCTTTTATGAACATTATCAATTTCAGCCATTCATTAAAAAACCTGAAATTACTGAAAAGTACACTACTATACAGAAGTGATTGAAATTTATTTTTACTTTAGTGCCATTCCTTCAACCTATTTTGTTAACTATGTGGAAGATCTAATTCCTTAGTCACTGTAAGCAAACCCACATAGCTTGTTCTCTCTCTCTCAGTGTACTTAATTCCACACTGAAATCTCACTTTCAAAAATGAATATTGGAACTTGTTACTTTTACATACAGGATTTGCTTTTAGAGTGCATAAAAATGTAACAACAGACAATTGCTTTGGAAAACAATGCAATGTTCCATTGAAGTTTAGAAGGGTGAGGAATGTAAACAAGGCTGCAGAAGTCTTTGACATTTATTAAAACACAGTGATTGTTCTGTTCGAGTTTTCTTATACATCCTCAACGTGTCTCCGTCTGTCCCTTCATGTACCCTTTTCATTCAGAAAAAAAATAAATTCAGGAATCAGTTGGACTCAGCTAAGTGAAGAATAATAAATTTGATCACTTGGTTTGTGCCAAAATACAAAACTAAGAAGTACTGGTCTGAATTAGATATAATCTATCTGATTTTTTTTTTTAATAAATAATAGAAAATAAAGATGAACATAGAATTAGAATTAGAATTCGATTTTAATTTAAATGAAAAACCTAACAGTGGGGTGAGATTAGAACCCAACGTTTCTTTTGCTTAAGGCAATCAAGTGCACTTATTTCAGTGCTTGATAGTAATGAATTCAGTGCTATTGTGAAAATCAGAGTTCACAAAATTCACATACAAACTCATGAAATATGGCCATTTACAGATTCTGACACAGCATGAGATTCTTATTAATCATGTTCAGTAGCATTTCACTTTTGGGGTTGTTTTTTACAGTAATGGGCTCCTAATAGAAATGGAAATACTAGAATCTAGTTCATTCTGGCTTGTATTTTCATAAGGACATCGGACATTTTCATAAACAGATTTTTCTTTTCAGCCTTAAGAAACATACAATAAAACCCCAAATATCCAGTTACAATAGTTCAAATAATTTTGTAAAGTTCACCTAAGTGATAATTTAAGAAATACAGAAAACAAATTCTTTTTCCCTATTGTTAAACTATTAAACCATCATGAAGCCTTTGGAAGTAGTCAGATCTCTCTCTCTTTCTCTCTGAAAAAATGTAATTAAATTTTATGCAAGTCTTCATGAAGATAACTAAATCTTGAATATCAGATAAGTATTAAAAAGTGTGCTGACAACTTGAAATATGCAGGTTCCAGTAATATACATAGACTAAAAAGAAACCTTTTTCTTGTAACAATTCCTTTCAGATATTCAGCTTAATTTTAGGCCGTGGCTACTAGCAGGTGCTTTTTCACTAATCAAAATAATTGTAACAAAATATCATTACTGACTTTAAAATTACTGGGTTCATAAAAGTTTTGACAATAATATATAAAAAGTGAACTGAAGCTTTTAAAAGACTTACAAGTTTGAGACACAAAAGAAACTGGGAGGTAGACAGATGTTTTGAGGATAAACAGATCGGTTTTGTCTAAGGCATTATGCCACTATATGTTTAGAGCAGTATAAAGGCTGCTGATTAATCTTCAATTCCAGAGTGTTCGCTGCTCATACTTACGGAAGACTATCAATGCACTTTTGGTCTTTGTGATTCTGACCTTCTCTTCCCCATCTCCTTTTTTCTCTTTAGCAATACAGCTAAATGGAAGTGCTATAAGAATTTCTGCCCATTGCCTGTAGACAGGAATGTTCTGTTCTTAAACAGTAATAAAATACTATAAAATAGTAGGTATTGGAGTTGGAGATATGTGCTCTTTTGGTGCATATTTTGCAAAGAATGGTAAAAAGACAGACAACATGACCCCAACAATTGCCAGCATATACCCCCATCCAATCTGGCAGTCTCCTGCATAGTAGATGTCTGAATTCTCACAGAATCTCTTCACAGTAGCAGAGTTGAAACCAAAAGGGTAAACCAAAAGCCCAGAAGCCATTATGAACACTAGAGGAGAAAAAAAAACACACTGGTTATTATTGGACACTTAATTCCTTTGCAAAAATATTCTTCTAGAAAGGCAAATCTGTTCTATTAAAATCAATGGAAAAAGTCATAGCTTAACAAAGCAACCCTCATGATTGGTAGATTATCTTCCTTGTCATAATTACCTCTCATGGACAGCAGTGTCATAACATGGTAGTTGGCACTGGGATATTTTCATGAGAACTCTTGCTCGTTACAGAACTTCAGAATTGTTGTGATCCAAATTACGTAGCCATTTAAAAATTAAGATGATTCAGATACAATGGAATCCAGATGAGAATAATTCTGAAGTTTGCAGATTCCAGAAGCTTGATTTTCTTCTCAATAGCGTTTTTGTACTTGAGACAAACAATTACTTTGTTCTGCTAAATCATTCAATGAAAGAGTTTAAAAGGAGTTTAGAAGGAGTTCAAGATTCTGCAGATTAGGTTCTGATAACAGCACTTTCTCACTGAAATAATGATAACAAAAACTCAACTTGTTTAAAATACCCATATTTGACACAAAAAATCATGAGATGGACAACAGTACAATCTGAATTCTTTTTTGTTAGCATTTATTTAGCATTGGAGTCTTTCTGTACAGCTTTAATTCTCCCTGTAAATGTAAGGATCAGAAAAAAAAATTAACTAAGATTGAGACCTAAAATATTAAGATCTGATGTTCCTGTGTGACCTAATTTTGGCTGCTTGGGCTCTAGAAACACACAATGAATATGACAGGACATGCTATAGAAATCTAAAGGTTCAGTACATAAAGGAACAGAGTTAAAGCAGGGGGAAATCTCTCCCAGCGAGTCATCTCTTACTCCTCTTAGCCAAATGCAGAAGCAGATTAATCCAGTGCATAATGAAGAAGTATGTCTGAAATATAAGTAAAGCTTAAGCCACCGCTTGATGTCGGAAAGCCAGACCTGCCTCCTGCATGACAGTCTGTATTAGCTGCTGGCTTTTAATAGAACTTCACAGATTTTACAGTCTTTAATGAATACATGTTATATTTAAATATCATGGCTTATGCAATTAATTTAATGAACAGCAGAACCACTTTTCCAGCTTTGAAAACAAGACTGCCCTAGGTATAAGCCATAACTATGATAAAGATGAGTCAAAATCTTCCAGGTGCAGCTCTCAGGGCCTGTTTCTGCCCATTTTTTTGTCATTTTATCCTTTCTGCTAATGACCTACCAAAGTATTTAAAAATCTATGGTGTATTTTAAAAGGCTTTATTTTATGTACCAAAAAGATACCATGACACAGTGTCTTTTTCTACCTTCCTGTTCTTCTGGGATAGTCTTTTGTTCAAATTCAGGGTGAATTGTTAGTGATTCAAGATTGGAGGTAATCAGGATTAACAGTTATGTTTCAGCTGATAGATAATTCGTAACCAGCAAACATCTAATGAAGCACCAAGATTATAAAAAAACACTATGTTTAATCACCTTTCAGGTAGGACATGTGCATTTTACTCCCAGTTACAATATTGAAGAGGCTTAATCTTAAAGGTATCCACTAAAAAAGAGCAATCACTCATTAATCTTTAATAAAAAAAACCCAACTTTAATAAGCTTGAGGGCTAGATGAAGTAAAAAAGTTTTAACACAGCCTGTAAAGTCCTTCAATAATTTGAATTAAAGCTTTTCTTCTAGTCTAAATGGAACTGCTGAGTTAATCCTTTGTGAAAAATCAAGAATACCAAGAAAATGTGAATTAAAAGGAGAGAAACTGGAACAGAAGCAAACTTGCCAGTTGGTTTCCCTCTAGAGTAACTCATGTATGGGCACAAAGAGAAACCATCTGCCAGTAAGCAGAGGTCTCTGACAGCAAAATGTTTTTACCTGCCCTTGCTCTCACAACCACTCTCCTTTCCTTGGAGCCTCTACAAGTAAGTTTTCAGGGGTTTCCAATGAAGGACCCTGTGCCCATCCCCTCTCTGCAGGCTCATGGTGTGTGAAGGTGACACTGCAGCAGCCAGTGAAAGGAAGGGTCCTCTCCAGTGCAGGCAACACCCCCTGGTATTCAATCAGCCATACCTGCTATGGGTGCCCAGGGCAGCAGCAATCTCCTAAAGCTGAGCACTGAGTTCTTAGCAGCTGTGCTTGTGCATTTAAGCGCTAACGTTAAACAAACATGCAGAAGCTGAAGCTAAATACTAAGAAGTGGTATTTCACAGATCTCCCATAACTACACACATATGACACCACTCAACTCAAAATGAAAATACAATAACATTGAAGCTAAACTAGACACACAAACATCTCCTTTAGCAAAGGTTACTGAGTTTCCCAGAAGAAGAAAGAGAGCTAAGGGCGAGCATGCTTCTTTTGTTCAGTAGCACAGCCTGAAAGTTGTGTAACACTCTTGCATGCCCAGGAACATTCCCAGAACACCCCCTCTGTAATCAGAAACATAGGAAGGAACCTTGAAGAGCAACCAGAAAAAAAAAGGAAGACTTTTCCTACTGCTGTTGTAAATTTTGAGTGTTAAACAGCAAATCTGACCAATAAACTGAACTGTATTAATTCATAGACCTAGGTAGGTCATAGGCTAATACAACCTGGGGGCTAATACAGGTAGGAAGCAGAACAATGTCCTGCCTAATAGACAGCTACAGCATGGCCCCGCTCAAACCCAGACTGCTCGATCACATAAAGAATCTTGAAATAGCCCCGTGGTGCAAAACCTGCTGTGAAATGCTAGGCCCATTTGCAACAGAAAGCGAGCCTGTTTTAAGAGAAACAGAATTGCTCCAAGCAAGCTGCAGGTCTGAAATTAAAATTTCAGTTTGTTCATCTTTTCAAACCAAAATAGTCCATGCATCTCATTCACTGAAAGAAAACATTGTGCAGAATTGGAAGCAATCTGTTTATCATAGAACCCTTTTAAACTTTGCTATTACATTTTGCTGTTTTCCTGACATTGTCTCAAGCCCTTGCTATACTTCACATTATCTGTCCATACATATGTTTTCTTTCTGATTGTCTTACGCAGAATTATTTTGAAGGTTGTTCTTTATGGGGGCATTGGTGTTTTGATTATTGTATCTGCTGTGTTGTATGGTGGGACTTAACGGAAGATGCTTTGTTCTGAAGGCTGGAAATAATTGTCATAGTTGAATGTAATGTATTCACATCTCAAGCAGGCTAAAAAGTTACCCATGGTTTCATATCCTCAGGCATGTCATAGAATGACCTCATTATTCTCATTTAGGTGCCCTCTTTCTTACACAGGCTCAAAATATTGAATTGCCTGTTATTATCAGCAGAAGCCAAGCTTTCAGCCATGGTGCTAATGACTGCTTAATAGTGCTGTCTATCAGCAGTGCTGTTAGCTGGGAAAGCACACAAAGAAACAGTGGGGCTCCATTTAGGCTCCTCATATAACACTTACTCCTCTGCATGATTTTCCAACAACAAACATCACTTTTAAAAGTGTCAGGATACAGTAGTGAGAGCATCCTACCATTGTGTGTAGTGTAAGCCTGCTGCCATCCAAGATGATGAGAAGACTAAGGCAGCAGATTTGGGGCTGTTATATAGTATGAAACATATGGAGGCTAGAGGGACTTGCTGCTAAAATGGATAGCTGGAGTGCTTTTTATAACATGGCTTGACTGATCATTTGATTCCCATCAGCTCTTGGGTCTTGTTATCAACCAGCTTTTTTTGTTGTTTAATTACCTGACACATGGTGTTTGTTGTTGCTAGGTCCTCATCACCTGCATTCTCACCAGTAACTCACAGCTACTGCTGACTTCAAGGCAGTCTGAAGCCCAGTCCACATGCATTGGTTCAACTGTAAGTCACTTTTTATTTCTACTATCTAATAATCTGTCCTCCCAAACACTTACACTCTCACCCTCATCCTATTTACTTCACTGGTGTCTTGCAACCACATGGTAAATCGTTTCTGCTCTGAAAGGTTTCCTAGTCAAAACAGGACCTCTGCACTGCTCCCAGTATATGCCCATGCCTTAAAAAAATATGGTTTATCTACTTATTTTTTTAAGTAGATTCCTGAATTCGTCATTTTCTAAATAAAGTAACTATAATTAACAGGAATAAGATATTATTAGAAAGGAGGACACTTCTTTTTAGAGAAAACAGGGAGTTTTGCAGAAAAAGTTGTAAATCATTGGTGTCAAGACTGAATCAATAGCAGTTCTATTCAGGTAAAATAGCATTTTCTGTTCTTTTAAAATCTAATAAAATATAACTCTGTTATTGCAATGGTTCATTCATTTCATCTAGCTCCTGAAATACTGCTTAATTATTTACATCTATCACTTACTGTTTTAAAGTTTATTTCAAACCAATCCAAAGTAATGCAGTTCTGCAGAGTGTGTGTAGAGGGCACCAATGTACAATTCTCTTAAATACCATGCACAAAAAATGGCCATTTTCATTCCCAATTCTTCTGGTGACAATGGTGGAGGTTTCAATGTATGAAACACAATAATTGAATAGTTTTCTATCTTTGTGAGGCAGGAATGTGAAAACTTGGCTAAGTTTATGTGTATCATTCTATATTAATACTGAAATGGGTGGAAGTCCAGAGATGAACCCCAAGTATTACAGAGACAGGAAAAAAGCTAGTTTATTTTACTGTATTTGTTAATATGTTTGGATGATGTGTAGTAGTAATACTGGTCACCAGTAGTAAAATATGCTGTATGCATGAATTATCATCCTGAAATTACCTGTTGTAGAAAATTAGTTTGTCTTAGAAGTTTAATTTCCTTATTTTAGGAGTATATTATATTCCTGGTACTTGTGACAGTGATGGATTAATTGCAGGATTGTGGGACATATCAGACAATCATTAGAATGAGGGCTGAACTGTAGGCAAGCAAGAGTATTATTCCAACCCTGTTACAGATTATCACAGTCTTTTCTTGGAACATTTTCATTGACAGAGCTTAAACTACTAAAGCAATTCTCACGCATCTCATCAAGAAGTTTCTTCTCACATATAATCCACTACCTCCCCCCTTAAAGCTGGCAGCTCTGCTTATGCAGTTGACTTTGAATAACACACTTCCTCTCAGGTTTATACACTGTATTAATCTAATCATTTTATTAGCTTCTCTTAAGGTTTTCCTTCTGTTTATGTGATTTTACTTATAGTTTTAAAATAAGAAAGCAGATGCTGGTCCAAAGCCACAGATACTCCAACACAAGGCCAGAAATACAGCTAATGTCTGAGCAGCAGTGAGAAAACCTTTCAACCAGTAACACAGCCACGTATCTTCAAAACCACCATCTCTTGTCCTACTGCACTGGCTATCCTACACTTAGTACATTTCAGCATTCTTCCCATGCAAATATTTGTGGCATGCCTGAAAGGTTCCTACATTTGGGGTATTTTGGACATAAGTGAGTCTCTTTTACAAAAAGGTGATACCTGTATGACTCTTCCAACATTTGGGAACCTAAAGACAATGTTAAGTAAGATCCAAGGTCACTATTACTGTTGGTAATAGCTACACATGAGTGTACAAACAGAAACAAGATGCAACTCAGGGCTATTCATAAATTAGCGATTTCCTTTTGTCTACTTCAGAAAAGGTGAAATGACCTAGAGTAATTTTGGTGAGAGCTGAAATACATCTAAAGGCAGCAGGCATCATTTTAAATGCCAGTGGGGTATAAATGAAATAAACAGGAAAGCAACCTGCAAAGACAAACCAAACCAGACAAAATCGTCCTGGTCTGGAAGCAAACCTTTCCAGGGGGCAGGCAAACAGGGACCACTGTTAAATGCCATTCTACTCTGCTCAGTTCCTGGCAGGTACATGTCAGGTACCTACAGTTCTACCTCTTGAAAGCAGCTCTACGAATTATTTCCTCAAGGAAAGCAAAAAGGAGAGCAGGGAAAAGGGATAATAATGCCCATATGCTTAGTATCAAAATGTAGCTATCTGCTTTTTTTAACTGAACAAAGAGCTGGAACTTGTAAGAGCAATACAGCCCCTTCTAACATATTACAGTTTAGCTTTTCTCCTTTCTAAAAATTTGGCTTCATTTCAGTCAAATATGTTGTGATTTGAAGAGCATGTATCAGTGCTGGACTGTTGCCAAATAAGTAGATTATACCAGTTCCTTTTCTAGCTTTCCTAAGTGGTGCAACTCACAAGTTAGCAGCTATAATATAAATGTGGTTATAATGAAAACTGTGCAGCTTGTCAAATCCCCCTTTGTTAGCTAACAAAGGAAATGTATTAGTTTGTACAGTGTCTCCAAAGTCTATCTTTAAATAAATGCTGAGTATGTGACTATAGCTCACAAACTGAGGAACTGCATCGGAAACAGTAATTTGTATTTTTATAGATGTATATATATGCAAATCTCATGGGGAATATATGTATATAAAAAGATGGACAATGTTTTCCATTTAAGTAGGATTTAGGTGGAATGGGAACAGGTTAATTTAGATAAAACTAGTACTGAAATACAAGTGCCCATACACCTTTTTTGCACACGTCCTTTTAGTGCTATTTAAATACCCATTCAAGTTCTGTTGGCACAACTTCCTCATTCATATGGCCCCTTATTGCTCAAATAGCCTGTTTCAGAAATGCCTGACAATTGTATGAATAGCTTAGTCTACCTCACTTATTAACTGAAGGGAGTGGAATCCAATTGTCCAGACTTTGGAGAAGAAATTCTCTGAAGCCAACATGGAGGTAATTGGGCTGTGTAATTGCTGCATTAGCTGTGAGTTTACTAAGGACCACAAAAGGAAATGCCATCCCAGTGACCTTTGAGGTTGCATTTCACAGCATGTTTTCTACATGAGAATAAATGATGAAACTTCACTATTTCTGCCAAGTGAGTGGTAGCTATGGTGAAGATTTATAGCTGTAATCTGGTAATCTATGGTCCTAATCACGCAGTTATAGAGTTGTGTGTCATTTACTCAAAAAGGTTGAAATGATCTAGCACTGTGTAGGCTGTGGTGAAGGAGTGCATTTTGTCATCTGCAAGGCTAGAAGATATACAGCCTATTTAGCAGACTGTAAAATGGAGAGACAAGAGCTAATGTTTCTCAAAATAGCAGACTTACACAAAATTGTACAAGACTCAGAGAGCTAAGAAATGGGGACTGTCAGATGCACTCTAGTTTGGAAGCCATTATGATTTTCCTGATTTGTATTGCTTCAATAATTATATAGATTTTCTATTTAAGTTTTTTGAAATTCTAAGTCATGTTCACTTCATTGCTTTCAGAACAGCAAACACAGTAACAGATTAATAATATGATATTGACATATTTAAGTGTTGGATTCTTTAGATGAGAGCAGCATGTTCAGAATGTATTATGCCTGAAACGTGCCTGTGTTCCCTTATCTCGATGTTCCATTTTATTCAACAGTTAAGAAGCACTAATAAAAAGTGACTATTTCAGAAGTTCTATTTTACGTGAACATAGTAGGGAGCATATTTTCTAAGCAATGCATGCTGGTTAACTGTTCCGCTTCATTTCTACAAATAGAAGTAAAGGTGGCAAATGCTTTCTCTTCTTATGTAACCTCTCCATGCCAAAACCAGGATGTTCTCAGCATTAGCAGGGAATGAAATTCATGACTGAAAATTTAAATTAATACTTCTTCTTGTGATGTTCTAGCTAAGAAGTGCAGCCCCAGATCGCCATCTGATGCATTCCCTAGCAAGGAACAGCATCTGCCTGGGTCCATGTGCAGCTGGAAGTAACAAGGGAAGACAGGTTTCCTTGCAGCATATTGTGTCTCCTTTGGAGCCAGCTCACCTGGGAAGGGGAGATGCTGCCCAGCCTGCAGCAGGTCTTGGCTCCTGCTCCGGCTGTCAATTCCAAGTTCTTAAATAGCTATTTAGAGCAGGGGCTGAGGTCCAAAAGACGGGCAGTGATGTGTAGATCACCTGAAATGTCACGGTTTGACATGACACATTTGCTCCCTTCTCTTTCCCACCTGCTCACCTCACAGGTCTCTTTTAAATCAATCTTTCCACCTCTCCAAAGACTCACAATTTCAGCAGAGCAGATGCTCATGAAAACAGATTTATAATGAAGCTGCTGGCCATTAAATACTAGCCTTACATCAGAGGTGACCTTATTGTAAAGCATTGTAGGGTGAATTTATTTCGACTTTGCACATTCTATACCTTGTCTCCCACATCTCAGAGAGACACACAATGTGGCAGCCAAGTCAGTAGTGGCAGGAAGCCTCATGCCTGAGAATAATGCCCACATCTCACTTCATTACAGTTGCACTTCACATCCCAGCAGTCTTCAAGCCTCAGGGATATCACATTCATTACCTCTTTCGGAGACATGTATTTTACATAAATGGTTGAAAGGTGATTAGAATCCCTGACAGAACAGCATTTTATCTGGAATGCAACCATGAAAAATATGTGCCTAAAACAAAAAAGGCATCCTACATCCTTCTTCTAATTGATTTAAGCTACAAAGACCAGCTTCAGTTTTCCCAGGGCACAGGAACTACCAGGAAGACACAAGTTGCATGTTTTCAGACCTCCTAATAAAAACTCCTTGACAGGGGGTTGAAACCAGAGTTTTTTGTTTCTCAGATGTCCCAGTCCTGTGAATGTCATCAGTCAGCAGAAGCCCACATACTGCCACCTGATCATAAAAAAACAGTTCTGTAACTAGCCTCATTTCATGCTGCTGATTCCAGCCCACCATAAATCAGCCACACCACAAATAATGTTAGAAATAATTGTCTGTTCCCCAGCTCCCCTTTTTACAGCCCAGGTGCCACACAGCTGTAGCCATATGGTAGACCCCATTATAACAG